CATTGCTTTTTGTCCTGCCTTTAAGTGCTATGGAGAATAAATTGACACTCTCTTCCCTATGACAGTCTTTCAAGTATTGGAATACTGCTATCATGTCTCCCCAAGTCTTCTCTTCATTAGATTAAAGATATCTAGTTCCCATAGCGGTTTATCATATGATTTAGTTTCCAGACCTTTTATCATCTTTGTTGGTCTTTTTTGCATTCTTTTTAGGGCCCAAACATCTTTTTTTGTGTTAACCAAAATTTGATGCAGTACTCCAAATGTGACCTCATTAGTACAGTATAGAGTTGTACAATCACTTCCTGTGACGTTGATGCTATTCTTATGTTGGTGCAGCCTAGTACTTTGTTTGCTTTTTTGGCAGTTACAACACTACTGGTTCATACTTACGTCTACTAGGATATATAGATCTCTCTCACAGTTATTATTTTTGAGCCAAGTACCCTCTATTCTATAACAATGCATTTCATTTTTCCTGCTTAAGTTCTGGACTTTACTTTTCTCACCACTGAAATGCATCTTGTTGAATATGCTCAAGTCTATCAAGATCCTTTTGAATCTTGAGTCTTCCAAAGTGTTGGCAATTCCCCCCAGCTTGGTGTCATCTGCAAATTTCTTGTGTTCCTCTCATCTAAACCATTTATGAAGATGTTGAAGAGCATCAGGTTCAAGCATGCAGAGGTACCCTACTGCCTGTTTCCCTCCATGTAGATATAGCTCTTTATTATACATATTCAAGTAGAAGTTAGACAGCCATATGCATGGGATGTTTTCATTTGGATTTTTTTGTACTGCACTCAGCTTAAGCCATTTTTTCCAACTGCAATTCTATTCTATCATTTGCTGTCCTCCAGTGGCCTGGCATTTTACCAATTCTCTAGCATTTTGGAACAAGACCCTTTAAATTTTTTTCTGTTTAAACGGTTCCAAATTCAAAATTACTATAAAGAGTGTTATTATAAATTTGGGATAAGAAAATCAGATTAACATTTATAATTATTTAATTGTAATTGGTGAAATCTAAAGAAATATGTATTCATTTAAAAAAATATAAAATAATAGATTTTGTTGTGTTCTACTTTTTTGTAAGGCTCCCTAGATAGTGGGAACTTGTCTGAAGCTTCCCAGTATGCTACAGAGCACAGCTTGAACTGAACTTTTATTATAACATCAGAACTAAAACACTTTTGCAACTATTTATTGTCTCTGGCAGTAAGATTAATGCTCCACCTCTTGGATTTAATTCTGGTACCTTTTCCTAACATGTTTTCCTCATTATAAGGAAAAGCTCATGTTTCTAAAAATCAGTATTAAATGAAAATGATATGTTTAAATTTTGTGCATTCTTGTCTTCTAATATAGCTTCAATCTTTTGAACTTTGGATAGAATTAAATGTAATTTATTGGGAAAACTTCTATTCATTTAGATACATGAATTGGATATAATTCCTAAAACAATGTAGCTTATGTGTATTTATAGCCAGTGCTTTGATTTGAAGATGGGGTCTTCACTCTTTTAGTAGTTCTCAGTGGTTAGTCATAATATATCAATATATGATAGTATATTTGTTTTAGGACATTCCTATTTAGACTAGGCACATTCAAAGTATAATGATTGAAAAGACTCTGAATGAGAAGGCAGACTTGCCAATCATTTGATACTTCCTTTTTCATTATATAAAGAAATGGAAAAAAATTGAAGTTGCAGATTTGGTTTCTGATCTTCCAGAATATCAAAACATGAAAACACAATAGTATGATTTAGGGAGGGCTGTCTCTCAGAATGTGGTTAAAAAAAAGTTAAGATGGAGGCCATGAAAGCAATAAAAGCTTTCCCTGTTTTTTTGTATGTATTGTGTCAGCTATACATATAAAAACAGGCAGAGCTTCAATTACAAAGTGCAGTGGTTAGAATGCAGTTCTTCAGCCTAACTCAGGAGTTCAATTCTGAGCAGCTCAAGGTTGACTCGGTCTTCCATCCTTCCGAGGTTGGTAAAATGAGGATCCAGATTGTTGATGCTGACTCTGTAAACTGCTTAGAGAAGGTTATAAAGCACTATGAAGCAGTATATAAATCTTAAGTGCTATTGTTACACCATTGTGGTTATGATCTTGACTATTTTCTGCACCCTGGGGACATCCCTTTGGATCACTTGCTAAATTTCTCAGTTTCCATCATACAGGTGGCAATCCAGTCTGAAGCAATTTAGTAGTTGGAATTAGGCAAAATGCAACATATTTTCTGGCCACTGAATTGGGAGGCTTCTTATTTAGGAGAGGGATAAGTTACTTATTAATAATGCTGATACTAATGTATGCCAATTTATTTATCAAGAGACAGGTACAAAGACGAAAAAATTCAGCACAATTTTTTTGGGGGGGGGGCGCCTTTGAGTCATATTGTCTCCTGGTGACTGCCTGGACAGGTCCCTGCAATTTTCTTGGCAAGGATTAGTAGAAGTGGTTTTGACCTTGCCTTGTTCTTTCTAAGGCTGACAGAAAGTGACTGACTCAAAAACACCCAATTGGTTTTGTGCCAAAGAACTCATGGTCTTCCAGTTTTTAGCCTAGTGGCTTAACCACTATACTAAACTGGTCCCCTCAGCCCAAATATGTATCCGTAAAATATTATTTTATTTTCTGAAAAGTAATTACTTAAGGCAAACATAATTATTGCTCAGGGAACAGAGAGGTGATGCAACAACTTAGGTTTTCTTCCAGTATGGCTCTTTAAGGAAAAAGATCCCCCAAGTCCACAAACCTGCTGTCTTTTACAGTGCTACAGTATATTATCTATATGCCTGCATACCTATCACATCATTTCCTTTTGGCATAAGCAATATTTTGCCAAATGCAGACAAGAAGCAAGAAACAGTAAGCTAAAGAAGTCAAGGCATGATGTAAGAAAAATAAAGGGCAGTCTAGTTTTGATATTGACCTCCACCTCCCATCATGGCCTTGATAAGTTGTGACTTTCACATAGTGTTTATGTATCAAACCATGTGCAGCATTCCGTGAAAAGTATAAGGAGAACACTGGCCATTTTTGCTATGTTTTAATGATGCAATAAAGAAGAAGAGTCAATGTCCACTTTTACCCTATGAACGCTTGCACTTTTCAGTGCAAGCTAAGATCTCTAGAAATTGGGTTGCAAAATAATATTCATTTGTCATTGATCCTATCAGCTAAGAGGTCTGTGCAATGTATTTATACATACATAAAGTTGTGTGTTGGTCATACCCTATGAATGTGATCATATTATAGGCTAATGAACTTCTCTGGCATAATAACATCTGTGGGGTAATTCAAAATATAAATAGTTGCAGTTAGTTTATATTAAAAACTGCAGGTCAAGTTAATAATTTGAATTAGTTCACAATGAATTTAATGGAACATAAAAACAAGTTCGGAATCAACCTTTTATATGTAAATTACATTTATATAGTAATTATGTTTCATCTTAAAATAACAATATCATTTTCAGAGCACTAAAAAGGCTTTAGGATTTAATACAATTGTTGCTGTTCACATAGATAGTGTAAAGTTTACAAGAAAACTGACTGCCCTTTAATCTGCATGTTCAGTTGTGCAGTCTGTCCTTTCTCATCAGATAGAGGTCACTTTCTTGTTATATCAGCATTAGCTTCCAGCATTGTCTTCTGGAAAAATATTTTCTGTTCCTCATTAAACTGAAAACTATTATGAAATGTATCTTAGATGATACAAAATGATAATATGCATAAGCCACTCAAGTGTGCTGCAGCTGCCAAAAAAGCCAACACAGTGCTCGGCTGCATTAACAGAGGGATAGAAACAAGATCATGTGAAGTGTTAATACCACTTTACAATGCCTTGGCAAGGCCACACTTGGAATACTGCATCCAGTTTTGGTCACCACAATATAAAAAAGATGTTGAGACTCTATAAAGAATACAGAGAAGAGCAATAAAGATGATTAGGGGACCGGAGGCTAAAACATATAAGAACGGTTATTGGAATTGGGGTATGTCTAGTCCAGTGGTAGCGAACCTATGGCACGGGTGCCATAGGCGGCACTCAGAGCCCTCTCTGTGGGCACACGCACCATCGTCCCAGTCCTAGGCCTTCAGCTGGATTTTATGAAACCTTTTCGCTTTAAGCCTTCACCGCTGTGTGCAAAAATAAAAGTTCAATCAATCAATTTCAACTTCTCACGGGGAAAAAAAGATCTTGCAAAGTTGGAATTGATTGATTGAACTTTTTAGTCCCACCCAGTCTGCCGTTACCACCACAGCCACACCCACCCAATGGGCCACACCCACCTGGCACCCAACGATGCATAAGTGGATTTTGGGTTGCAGTTTGGGCACTCGGACTCTAAAAGGTTCGCCATCACTGGTCTAGTCTAATGAAGAAAAGGATGAGGGGTGACATGATAGCAATGTTCCAATATCTCAGGGGCTGCCACAAAGAAGAGAGAGTCAAGCTATTCTCCAAAGCACCTGAAGGCAGGACAAGAAGCAATGGATGGAAACTAACCAAAGAAAGAAGCAACCTAGAACTAAGGAGAAATTTTCTGACAGTTAGAACAATTAATCAGTGGAAGAACCTGCCTCCAGAAGCTGTGAATGCTCCAACACTGGAAGTTTTTAAGAAGAGACTGGACAGCCATTTGTCTGAAATGGTATAGGGTTTCCTGTCTGAGTAGGGGGTTGAACTAGATGACCTCCAAGGCCCCTTCCATTATTATTATTGTTATTGTTGTTGTTGTTATTATTATTATTGATATGCACAAAATAGAATAAAATGTCTTCAATAATTAGAATATTAAAACAATTTTTAAGAATATGTAGTATTCCAGCTAAAGAATATAGTATAAGCTAGATGTTTGTTCTACAACTTATTGTTTTTATTTTTATGACACCAGATAATACTATCTACCTAATAAACCCTTCTGTAGCTAATCTCTGTTTGCTAAAATGAGTGACTTAACATGCCTTTTCCATTTACTTTTTCAGGTTGTGTGGAGGAAACTTGGAGATGCTGCAGGCTCGTGTCCTGGAATTAGACAGCACTTGTCTGGAAGCCAATACAAAGGGCCAATGTGAATGACTATCAAAATGAAGAAGGATTCCAAGTATCAGTGGACTTCACAACAATCCTTTTAGTAGTAATGAGACAATGCCAAACACTTTCTAGGCCACCACTGGAAAATAGAAGTCTTTTCTTTATAGACTTTAGTGTGAGGTATCCAGATCTGCAACTAATATACTCCATTCTGCTTTTGCCACAAGCATTTTCAATGTATACACACACACACGCATGCACACACACACACACACACACACATTATATATATATATATATATATATATATATATATATATATATATATATATATATATATATACAATTACACTAAAGATATGATCCCTGGGTATATCCATATTTAAAACCAAGCAAACAAACGTGAGCACCAGGGAGTATTTAAAAGTTTTTAGTAAAATTTAATACAATATCAATAAAATCACCGTAAAAATTAATAACTAATAAAACGCCTAGCTTTTGTCAGCGACTGCTGACATCATCAGGGCTCAAAATGCCAGTCAGTGGGAGAGTCCTCTTTTATAGATTGGTCAGAGTCTGCACTCGGCTCTTAGATCTTGTCATTGGGCCTGATGCAATAGGCTGTTTCTCAATTGCCGGTTTCTTATTGGCAATGATTACTTTCTTGCGTTTTTTACTTGTGTAGCTGTCATTGGGTGTTTTCTCTTTGCCAAATTCGGGGTCTGATAAGACATCCCCCCTCTCCTTTTTTGCTTTACTGTCACCCCTATTTCGTTTAGCTGCACTCCTCCCTCCTCCCCTTTCCCCACTCCAAGAGGGGAGGAACGACCTCATTAACATGTTTGGAGGATAAGACCCGCCCACCCCACCTTGCAATGCCGATCTGCCCGTATCAACGGACAGCACGGAAGAGCTCTCAAAACGATACCGCGCAAGCAAGGAGCAAGGAGGAAACAAGGGTGTGACAGTAATCAACTCGAACAACATCTGCGGAGACCATGACTGGGGAAAACACAAAGAAAACAAGAGACAGTGCGATGTGACGCGGCAATCAGAATGGAGTGGGGAAAGGGGAGGAGGGAGGAGTGCAGCTAAACGAAATAGGGGTGACAGTAAAGCAAAAAAGGAGAGGGGGGATGTCTTATCAGACCCCAAATTTGGCAAAGAGAAAACACCCAATGACAGCTACACAAATAAAAAACGCAAGAAAGTAATCATTGCCAATAAGAAACCGGCAATTGGGAAACAGCCTATTGCATCAGGCCCAATGACAAGATCTAGGAGCCGAGTGCAGACTCTGACCAATCTATAAAAGAGGATTCTCCCACTGACCTTGAGCCCTGATGATGTCAGCAATCGCTGACAAAAGCTAGGCGTTTTATTAGTTATTAATTTTTACGGTGATTTTATTGATATTGTATTAAATTTTACTAAATTTTACTAAAAACTTTTAAATACTCCCTGGTGCTCATGTTTGTTTGCTTGGTTTTACACACACAGGAGAATATAGCTAACAATCATCAAGGTTGTTCAAATTAATTCAGAAGGAAAACTCTCAGAGAAAGTGCATTTGTGGAAGGAAGGAAGGAAGGAAGGAAGGAAGGAAGGAAGGAAGGAAGGAAGGAAGGAAGGAAGGAAGGAATGTACGTGGACGCCACTTCCGGAAGTCTGTTCTGAAGGCCTCCGAGGCTGAGAATGGACTTCCAGAAGTGGCGTCCATTTACTTCTGGTAGGCTGTTTTGGGCCTGGGAGGTGTCCCCAGCCCAGAATGGACTTCCAGAAGTGGCGTCCACACAGAGAACTGGTTGTTCATGTATTTGAATCCCACCACTAGAGAGATTCCAATGAATTGTGCTTTTGGTCTTTACAATTTGAAAAAAGAGTAATCTTATATTTGAGTGTATTAAATATTGGTTAATGGTGAATAGCCAAACTGCAGCTGAAACCATTTTCTTTCCAATTGCTAAGATTATTACTAAATGCCCCAAACATTCAAGTCTCACAAGAGCCAATAGTGTAGCAAAAGAAAAACTATATATATAAGCACTAAAATTCTGATGCCTCATTGCTCTAAAAACATAGACCAAGAATCACTTTATTCTTATCCACTTTGGTGATTGCATTCTAAAAAACTAGCCTTTCTTGTATTAAAAGAGATATTTCCTCTATAGCCAAGTCCTGAAGCACTCTTAGTAACTGGGCATCAAAAGCCTGTGCTGCTTTTAAAAGAAGCAAGCATTTCAGGGATGAAATAGATCCTTGAGCCAGGCTGAAGACAAGGTACCTGCAGTAATGCTCTGGAGACATGGTTTCTGGTAGCTGCAATTGTACCACCCATGGCTAAATCTTGATTGGAGATCCATACATATGCATTAAGGAGAATGCTGAAAGGGAGGGACTGCTTCCAGAATTGTGGAGTGAACACTGCATTTATATGCATTCTGTTTAAATAGTTAAGACAATGCTGATATCTAAAGAGAAAACAAAAAAGCTCAAATACCAAACTTGCAGGCTTTTATTTTTAACACACACACAAACCACACAGAAAAACATGAAAAGGGGAAAGTTGTGCTCTTGGAACATGGAGCAGCATGCTGTTTCTAATCAATTTGAATTAGAGTTTGATGGAAAGGCGATATTAATAATTGGCGGACAAGAATGGATGTATATGCTATAAAAATGGCAATCAGGACTAAGAAGCAATACACTAAGAAAGCTTGAATGCTAATAATAGTAGTATCTGTGAGGGTGTCAATTATAGATTGAGAGGTAAAGTGGAAAATATAGACACTTGCACCATTTCCAGACAAGTCACCAATAATTGGAAAAATGGATATAGGCTTCTCATCTCTACGTTATAAATTCAAAATTAGGTTGAAAATGAAGAGTTAGAATGAGGCTTCAGCTTAAATCATGACTACACTAAAGAGCATAACAAACACAAATCATTTAAGGAAAGGAAATCATTAAAAGTTATCCCAAAAGTTTAAATGATGGCCATATCATTGATTTATGACCTTCAATAACAGTTTCTCAAATATCATAAATTCCCTTCCTTGGCCACTATTTTTAGTCTGAAAACCAGCAGTTTATATAATGGACACAATTTCTGCAGGGTATCAAAAATAAATAAGTTATATGTATCATAAATTGAACAGGACTTTACACAAAGCAAACTCTATCGGTTGGTAATACTTTCACTTTGGATGTACAATGTAAGTGTATTTTTCAGAGCAGATGAAACAATAAGGTGAATTAGAAAGAGGAAAGGGGTTTTTGCTCTTGAAAAAGTGGATCAGAAAATAGTGTGAAATTGGGTAGTACTAAGAAAATATTTCAGGGAGCTCCTGGGAGTAAAACCTGGGCTAAACGTAGAGACAAATGACAAACCCTTCATGACTATGACGGATGCTGGAATCATCTAACTTTCAAAAATCTGACATTCAAAACTGAAGGCTGATATACAAAATATTCCATGGCTTTAAGGATAATGCAAGAAAAAAAAATAATATTTTGACTCTGATAAATGAATAAAGACTGAGGAGGTTAAGTTTACTGAACACTGAAATCCATACTGCGGAACACTAGCATAATCATAGAATTAGAAGGGGTTTATGAGACCACTGATTCTAACCCTTATTCTGTACAGGAATTATATTAAATGATTCCTAATTGATAGTCATCTATTCACCACTTGAGCACATCCAAATTAAAAGGAACCCATCACTTCTTTGAATATTATTGTCAGATTGTTCTTGTTGCTAGGAAGGATTTGTTTTGTTTTGTATGATATTCAATTGGAATCTATCATCCTGTAACATAATCCCTTTTCATATCTTCTGATGATAAAGAATAGGTCTTGGCCTTTTTTATGTATGTGAAATTGTTGAAGGTGCTTAAAAAAATATTACCATGAAAATGGCCAATTCCTCTCAGAGGACTTAGTTTCTGATCCCTTCACTATCTTTATTATTACTATCTGGGTATGTTCCATTTTGTCTGGATCTTTCTTTAAGTGAAATGCTTCAAACCAGACATAATATTAAAAATGAAATCTGACCGAAGCAGAATAAAGAATAATAATTTGCTGTAATTTAGAAACCATATTTGTGTTAATGTGGTCTAAAATTGCATTTGCTTATTTTTATAGCCTGCTAGTTTATATTAAAGATACAAAGTACTAGTTCAAGATCTTTTTCATACCCACCATTACCAAGCCAAGTACATTGCATCTTACCTCTGTGCATTTGATCTCTGTTTCATAAATATTTTGTCTCAAATTTCATTTAATTATTTTCTTCTCATTTCTCTATCATCTCAAAATTGAATTCTGTTACTGTATTCTATAGTATAACCTTTCTCGTCCAACTTCATTTCATCTGCAAATTTTTAAGCATTCCTTCAACTCCCTGAATCAAGTTATTTATAAAAATGTTGAAAACATAGACCCAGGACTAGACTCTGTGGCATCCCATTGGATTTTCTTTTAATGATGTGGAACCATTAATGAATAAATCCTTGAACATAGTTTTCAAGCCAGTTTTGGATCACTTAATAAATACAGCATAAAACCCATATTTGATCATCATACTATAGTATCCAATGTCATTTGCTTTCTTGAGGTCAAGAAATATCTGCCTAGCAAATGTCTGGTAAGACTTTTTCCTGACAAATCAGTGGAAATTTATGGATATTTTTAAGGGGCTTATAGATCTAATAATAGAGAATGTTGAGTCTTTGGTTGTTTTTCTGCAGATGTTTCTGCAGATCTTAGTTACTAGATTAAATAATATCAGTGCATGGAAGAGTATAGTTTGCTGATTAGTTATTTATAGTAGCGTGCCCTCCTGCTCTTGATTGGACTGTAGTTTCTTCCTTGATAACTTTAAAAAAAATGACACCAAACTAAGACTGGCAGGACAAACTACTATACATAATCAACATTAAACTTTAATTTCCCATGATTGATGATGTTATCTAGAAATATCTGCAGGAAAACAACCAAGCTAAGAGAATACCAAGAACCAACTTGTGGAGTGATTGATTTATTATTTGCTCTAGAATCTTCCTAGGTATTCAAATCAAGCTATAGTTTAAGAGGTTTTCATTTTGTTGAAAAGAAGGATATATGCCCTTATCTACCAATTTCCCCAGTCTCCAGGATTCTGCATTTAATAGGCAACAGTTTAGTCAGACCACCAAGTTCTTTTCAGTACTCTGAAATACAGTTAATCCAATCTTGGAGATTTAGGTTT